CATTACAGAGCCATTAAACATGTATTATCTTTTGAAGGAAAAGCAGAGATTAATGACCCGAACCAACATGATGAATACACTGTGCAGGATGAACCAGACTTCTGCAGCAACCCAGCAAGCAGAGGGAAGAAACAATAAAACTGGATAACAAACAGAACAAGAAGGTCAAGAAGGAGAAATTAAGAGGCTGTGATTGAAAATTATTTGAACTCTGTTCTCTACACTTTAGGAAAAAAAAAAATTAACCAGCTACAAATATATTCGTATTTTCTCCTCGCTGCATTTCCACTACCAGGAAACATCTCCCCAGTGCAGCATTATGTCACAGTTACAAAGATCTATTTTGAAGTACAAACAGGGGCTGTATTTTGGATGAGACATGGGAACAGGGCAGTTCTATTAAACCTGCTAGTAGCTGAGGCCGTGCTGCTCCAGGTTTGTTGGGATCATCCAGTCCAGCACTGGTTCCATTGCAGTCCCAGGAGGAAATGCAGCCGAGTGGCAGCTGAAAAGCCACACTTTGTTTTTCGTGTTTAATCATCTTTTTTGTATGCTGCGCAGGAATTGCCATGGCTGAAATTGAAATTTGTTTCATAAAGGATATTAATGTGGTTAATAAGACAGGCAATCGCCCACTGGTGGCCCTAGACATATCCAATAAGATTTTAATGATTTTTTTATTGTTACGATTTGCTACTATGAAATCACTAGGCCAATTTACGTCTGTTTCATCTTGAACGGGAGAATTTCTGATGTGAGTAGCTTTAAATATGAGCACTTTCCCCCAGCATTTGGCTGTGCTCTTTCCTCCAGCAGAACCGACCGGTTGTGAGGTTAGCATGCCCCAGCACTTGCTTAGCTCCACTCAGAGGAACCCATTTGCATTTATGGTGAGGAGCAAGCACTGCGTTGGCAGGAAGGCCACCAGGTGCACAAAGCCAAAGCAGTTTGCTCAGCTTCATGTCAGAGCAGCAGCGACATGCAGATGGCACAGCAATATGCAAAGCTGCCATGGTGTGCCATGCACAAAGTATGGCTCTGGTCATTGGGGCTGTGAGACCTCCTGCTCCCCAAAACAACAGGAGCAGCTCCTGCTGTAGAGACAAACCACAGCATCACAGAACCACAGTGTGGATGGGTGAGAAGGGACCTCACAGCCCCTGGTGCCCCTGGCTCAGGGTGCCCTGGGCCCACCTATGAACTCAGCTACCTCCAGGGTCCTCACTGCCTCTGTGTAGAAAATTTCCTGCTCACATCCAAACAAAAGCAAGAAAGTTGTCTTTGCCCCGCTGCTGGTAGTTCACACAGCACTAAACACTCCACCACTGGTTTCATCTTTTCAGCTCAAGGGCACGGTTTGCAGCAGAGACAAGAAAAACACAATTTTTTTTTTTCCTATCAGCAATCCACGCTGGGGACTGCAGTGAGGAAGAACACATATCACTATACAAACATCAAGGGAATGAAAAGAAACGGGTACAAACAATGCATTTGTCAGCGCTGTGATGGAGAGAGGAACAGAAAGTAGCAGGAGATCAGAAGGGTTATGGAAACAGGCACTTCTGGAGAAGGCTGCTGCTGTCCTATGGATTTGAGAAAGGATCCCAGCCCAAGTAGCCTTCAGGGCACAGCAGTTGGAGCCCACGTGGAGAGCAAAGAGAGCAGTGATCAGTGAGCTTCTGGAAAGCAAAGAGATGGTTAAGGAGGGGAGAGGCAGCGCTCAGCATGAACACTGGTGGAGGCTGAACCTGCTGTATAAAGAAAGAAAATAGAAAAATATCACTTTGAATCCAAAGGGAAAGTACATTCTGGACGTTAGAGTGCTGCACACAGGAATAATGCTAATTCACTGCACCGCAGCAGTGCTCCTGGTGCTGCCTTTGGGGTATTTATACTGGTTTTGTAAACCAGCACACTTTGCAGGTGAGCTAGGCTGTGACATCCAAATCTTCCAGGGAGCAATTAGACATGCTGGTCTGTGAGAAGTGCACTTATTCATTCCTCAAAAGCAATGCACCATAGGAGCACGGAGTATTCTCTGTCACCTTCCCTCACCTTACTCTGAGCAACCTCTCCTTAAGAGCATCCTGAAGACACCCAGAAATGGTTGTAAGGCTGTGGGTGCATTGGGACATCCCATCCTCACAGCACCCAGCTCCTGGCGGGTTGTCACCTGCAGGACTGGAGACAGAGATCCCAACATCAGATGCAGCAAGGCAGACTACAGTAAAAAGTGGTAGGGCTTCAAAACGTGAGACTGCTATCCAAGAAGAAAGCATGACTGCAGTTCCTGTGCTTGCCCTTTGAGGGTGAAAAGAGTATTTTGCTGCCTGCTGGGAATTAGGACAGTTCCCACGTGTGCCGTGCTGCATACAGACAGTGCATGGTTTTAGAAGAGTTACTGTAAAACAGCATCAAAACGTGTAAAATTAGCAGTCTCTGAGGCCTTGAGCTACTAACACTGACCGTGATTTAAGCTCACGCACAACACAATGCAAACAAAAGGTACTGCAGAAGGTCCTTCAGAACACCTCTGTGAGCCCACTGACTTCTGGTGGCCGTGGCGCTGCAGGTAGGAAAGGAACAGGGGATTGCATTCATAGAAAGGTGCCAAAGTATTAACTTGGCAGTGTTACAGTATATTACAAATCATTAGAGCTCGCACTTACTAAATCTTTTCAGAATTGTATCTGCCAGATGGGAGGAGAGCCCTATTAGGATTAAAAAGGAGTTGCTTTGCGTGGTCTCCACCAGCACATGGACCTGCTGGGAGGATAAAGGACATACTGAGAGGAATGTTAGCTTGGAAAAATCACTGAGATCCTTAACAGAGAGATTCCCTGTGAGCTGAGAGCCAACCAAGGATGCACAACGCTGCAGCCCATCACACAACCTCATGCAGTGTTATTTAGAAACAGTGGCAGAAAAGATGCACTCAGTAGGTTGTGAGACATTAGCTAAGGCTCCAGACCTAACCTGTCATACAGGAAAGCAATGGGTAGAGAACCTGCTCTTAGATACATCAGATGTGCATCAGATCTGAATGCTGCACATCTTGTTTTTTTTCTATGATTGTTTTTCACCCACCCCAGTAAATATGAATCCAGTACAAACCTTTTTCCTGTTGCATCCTCACTGGTCTCTGCTCTCAGTGGCCCTTTCCCCACGGTCCTCATTCACACTCCCACTTTTCTGCATAGGTGCAGCAGGACTGCAGGATTCCTCTCCACCTTAACCACAACGACATCAAGTTCAAGCCTAAGTTTAACAACTTCCAAGAACCATTCAGATCCTCATGCGTCCCCATCCCAAATCAGTCAGTGATCATCTCAGATCTTCATGGCAGCTGTTGAACCATCAGCTCAAGGGGAGGTTTAGGTTGGATATGAGGAGGAATTTTTTCAGCCAGAGGGTGGTGAGGCACTGGCACAGGTTGCCCTAGGAGGCTGTGGATGCCCCATCCCTGCAGGCATTCAAGGCCAGGCTGGATGTGGCTCTGGGCAGCCTGGGCTGCTGGTTGGTGACCTGCACACAGCAGGGGGTTGCAGCTGGATGAGCACTGTGCTCCTTTGCAACCCAGGCCATTCTGTGATTCTATGACTTTGGTCAGACACAGGACAGCAAGTAAAGGCACATCTGACAAAGAAGTGAATACATCTCTTCACATACACAGAAATATACAAAGATTACTAAGAAATTATCCATCAGTACAGACACTGTCTTTAAAAATCTTTATCTCAGTGGGTTTTGGTCAGGGCAAGCTCACAGCATTACCCCCCACCCCCCCCTCCACCCTCTGCCCAGTAACTCCTGTGTTAAAGGTTCCCCAGCTGGTACTAGCATTTTCTCTTTCCTAACGTTCTCTTTAGCTGGAGACTGAGGAGGCAGTGGATGCTTCCAGCACAGCAGATAGCATCAAAGAGCCTGGCAAGACCTTATGAATGGGCAGTGTGAACACCTCTGAAATGAGTAATGACCAAGGACTGCTCAAAGAAAGGAAATAATAAAAGTCTGTGCATCGGAGAATGCAATGGCTCCAAACAAGTGGATTTTTTTGTATGTTTGTTTTTAAGCTTGGTTACATTTTTGGCTTCAGTAAATCCAATCAGATAGCAATTTATTACAAATTTCTGACACTTTGGTGTCATTTCCTCTTCCATAGTAATATTCAGTGACTATTTTCTTGTTGAGAAAGAAAGTCAGTATTGCAAATCCATCCTACTTCTACACAGCAGCTCCTTTGAGACCTTCCATGGTCTAATGGACACCGTGCTTCCCCTGGTGCTCACACTACATTTCCCTTTCATAGAATCACACAGGTTGGAAATTACCTCCAAAATCCCCAAGCCCAACCCCTCCCTACTGTGCCCACTGCCCCTGTCCCTCAATGCCACATCTCCATGGCCCTGGAACACCTCCAGAGATGGTGACTGCACCACTTGACCACTTGTCCAGTAACATACAAAAGTATTCAGCTACCCCTATCGCCTAACATGTACAGCAGGTTCACTGCAGGTGAATATCTAATTTGCTCTTTCCAGGTTTTTCACTCCAAATCTTGAGCATTACTTGTTCAGAGCGTTCAAAGGGGAAACCTTATAATCTTGGATATAATTTCACTGGCTTGTATTTGTGGGAAGAGAAAACTCACTGGGTCCTTGTTTCCCTTCTCTCTTCTTTTTCTGTTCTTTTTTGCTGTTTTGTGGCTGTTGTTTCTGACCTTTCCAAGGCTAAAATCTGTTGTCTTTGATGTCCACTGCAAAATCATAGAATCATATCATTAAAAAAAAAAAAATAAAATCATAGAATGGCCCAGGTTACAAAGGATGACATTGCTCATCCAGTTCCAACCCCCTGCTGTGTGCAGGTCGCCAACCAGCAGCCCAGGCTGCCCAGAGCCACATCCAGCCTGGCCTTGAATGCCTGCAGGGATGGGGCATCCACAGCCTCCTTGGGCAACCTAGGTTCTAGTGAATCATTAAGTTAAGTGGGCCCAGGAAACAAGAGAGAGAGAGGCATCGATGTCTCAATGCTTACAAGCTTCTGACCATGTCTCTGAGTCCTCCAGGAGACATGGAGATGCCTATTTAAAGATTGTGCTACATCTAGAGCCAAAATTCCAGTTTTTATGCAGATAGCCACAGAGCTGGCCCTCGTTTTCTTCCCTATCCTTATAGGTATTTATGACATAAAAATATCTTTTGGATTCCAGATTCTCTCCCTCTTTAAATTCAAGAAGATCAATAATGCTATTCTTTCTTACAAAACCATTAATTTCTGAATTCAGCCAGCCACGTAATGCATTTCATACTATACCCAAATACCATCCTGGAGTGATGGAGTCAGGAGACTCACATATCTTAAATAGCTATTATAGCAGATATCTCTGCTTGGGTTGAGCACCTGGTAAAGGCAATAATGAAGGGGCTCTGTAATCTCCACTCCTGAAGCAGGTTACAAAGAACAGGGAGCAGAATGGGCAGAGCAGTGACAACTGCACTGTGACTGTCAGGCAACAAGAAGAGCTGCACTGATGAACTGATGGCTCCTGCAGTAGTTTATCTCCTCAAGGCCGCTACTTTGATGACTTCTTTCAGCTGTTGACAAGATCTTCATCTTGAAGGAGCTGCCTGATAAAGATGTGGATGTAGCGATTGCACCAGGGCTCCCCATGATATCTGCTGGAGTGCTCACACAGAAGAGTTCTGTCTGGTTAACAGAGATGTGGCTGAGCTTGCATGGACTGCATATCATGGGCAGAGCTGCTGCCAAAGGGACAAAGCAGAGGTGGGTGGTTGCATCTCCTCCATGGAGCGCTGCATACAGCATCCGCATGGCAACGAAGGCACAGCCCTCACCTCAGGAACCCAAAGATCTATGTGCCCCAAAACGAAGGCCTTGTAAAAGTCAAAGTTGCATTTGACAGCAAATGGAGCATACCGGTTTTTATATGAGCTCTTCCCATCTCAGGTCTGCTGCTGCAGATCGTGCAGAAAGCTATTAGTTCATTTACTCTCTGAATCGTTACTACCAACTGTGCTAACTAACATAAAAAGGACTAATGGATTCCTTGAGGGAAAATTTATGTGCAGGGTCAACTTTTTTTTTTTAAAGAGAGGCAGGCCATTACCACTGCTTTTATTTAATGATGCCTTCTCTGAATATACATCATATTTCTTGGAATTAAAGACTACAAACGGGAGCGTTTGCTTGAAATGGAAATATTGATTCATCCAGCATCAAATCTACTGTCTGATAATTACAGGCAATGAAAAGCTCCTCTCTCTCCTAACAGTGTCAAGCTGTTAATGCCAATCAGAAATGCTGAAGAGCATAATAAAAATTGAACGATGCAAGACAAGCACTGAGTCTTTCTGTTCAGCCCAGTCCCACAGGAGCTGAATGCCATCAGGGCATGTGGCAAAATGTCAGCATTATTTCCTTGTAACGTGCAGAGAAGAATAGCACAGTTGTTGTGCTGCAAGATTAGCAGATATTTCGAGAGCAATTACAGCATAGACCATGTATTTTGAGCTGGCATTACAACTTTAACCAAGGGATTTCTTGTAAGACACTCCTGAATGTTCTATGTTACATTGCTTTAAAAAAAAAAAAAAATTATGCAAAATTTCAATTTCACTTCAAACGCCCCATTTTGCACTGAACACACAAAAAAACCATCAGATTCTGTAGCTTACCTTTAAAAATACTTGATTTTCTTGTTGGCTCAGAGGAGGGCTTAAGACAGGCCGTGCTTCCTTCTAAAGCATCGGTGATGGCGCGTGGCACTCATCGGGAACAGCTCATCTCTCAGCTCCCTTCTCCATAGGTCTTTTCCCTAGGATTCTTTCCATAGTAGCAGGGAGAACTCGCCTTCTCTGGAAACTGCCCAGTTTTAAGACATTAACCCTTGGTTCCATCCAAAATATTGGCAGTGAAATGTGAAAAGCCATGCAAAAAGACACAGGGCCTCAAAGAAAGTCATTTTGCTTGAGCAACTACTTGTTACAGAAACAAATCCACCTTCTTCTGGGTTTGTGCTACTTACCTCTCCAAGCTTCAGCTGTAAATAGCGTGGCAATGTATGAAGTGATGCCTTGATGCCCAGTTTCAAAGTGTCCCTTCTGAAAAGGGCATTCTGTGGAGACAAAATTGGAGCACACAGCTCCAAGGTACAAGAATGCTGAGGCACATGCTTTGCAGGAGAGGATGTGAAAGGAGCTGCAGCGGAAGCTGGGGAGACCCATCCCTCCTGAGCACATATCCTCACCTAAAACACTGGATGCTTTCCTCTGTGCATTAAGTCTGCACATTTGCATGCTTTCCACCATACAGACACAGCAGTGAGCCCAGCACCTCTGTGCTCCCTGGCTGTATACAGCCAGAGCATCACACTGCATTCTTCAAAAGGAAGATGAAACCTAGAGAGCCAGGTGATGGTTCTGGGGCAGAAATAGCCATCTATGAGTGTTTGTGTGAAGTTAAGGGCATGTTTAAGATTTGGGAACTTGTCAGTCAAGAAAAGAGATCAGAACAAGGGGAACAGAATAAGGGGCTTTAAGACTGGCAGTTGTCACATCTCTCGTGCCAGGGCACAGCAGCTAGCACCCAGAGGCAACAAGAAGCTGTACAGCCCTCCCATTACAAACTGGAGCACAACCTCTCACTTCCAGGCACACTTCCCCACCTTCTCAATCGCTGCTTGGGGGAAGACTATAGTGAGGACTTACAATCACCACTGATGGGTGTCAGAATCCTTCCATCACTGACCTGTAGGCTGCTGTACCTGACCCCTGCCCTTCTTTTGTAGCACAGGCTGGGTTGGTTGACTCCAGCTCTCCCCTTCGGGTCCTACATTAAGTTGTAATTAGAGCGTTTGGGAACAGCCTTTTGTAACACTAAGCACTGCCTAATTTTAACATGAAAACAACCTAAATGCATATCTATTAGTATTATAATCATCTGTATGCTTCACTATTTCCCCTGATAGCTTAAGCAGCTCTACCCTGTACCCAGCCACACATCCTTTACCTCCAGCATCAATCCTCTTGCTGTTTACAGGAGATTTGTTCCAACCCAGCCCCTGGTCCCAGCGCCCAGCAGGGCTATTCCAGAAGGACATTAAGGTGTGGGTTGGAGGTTCCAACTCATCCCTCCCAGGATGTATATAACTCATAGTAAATTCCAACATAACCACAATCTCTCTCAGAGCAATTTTCAGCAGGTTTGTATTTTTTCCATGTGATAGATTGCTCATTTCCCTCCCTCCCCTGTAAAATCATCTCCTATCGACTCTAAAGTAAGCTGCCCAAGCCCATGGAAATAGTCTGTGCTATTTGATCATAAAGTCAGTTCCAGGTTTTTGAGATCCGTTAATCATACATTCCCCCATCCTTTGCAGTGCTCTGTTACACCTTGCTTTGCAGCAGCATCCAGCAGCTCAGCCTTTTGCTTGCTGCATTATGTGATGTTGTGGGATTTTGCCAGTGCCAGCTTTCTCTGAAGTCCAGTTCTTGTTGTGACAGGTATGCTGTGGGACGAGTGCACTGTATGTTATTCCTAATATGCAGCTATTCATTTGTTTCCCATTAGTTGGAAAGAAATGAGGCACATCTACCTACCTGCTGATCCACAGCCAGAATACAGACTTAAATTACGTGGGCATGGATAAATGCTAACTTGTAAGTACAAGAGGTTGAAGAAATGAAATTAAATGAAGGAAAGAGAAATAACTGCCAATCTGAAGGAGTTTATGGGGAAACATTTTTACCTCTACTTCTGCAGAGTTTGTCTCAAAGCCTCCAAAGCAAAACAAAGTGTAAAAGAAAGGAAATTGCTGCAAAAAGGAATAAGTGCATTGTGGATGGGACTTTTCAGCACTAAATACTGTTTCTCTCTGCGCACCCTGGAATACAAATTAAAACTCCCATAACTACTGTGAAGTACAAGCAACTAATCTGACTACAAGAAACCACACACTGGTGCTCAGGGGCAATGTACTCCCATGGTACCCAGGCAGGAGCTGGGAGCTACCTCTCCTATATCCCACTCCTGCACCACATCACCAAATCACTTCCCTAAAAGCATAGCTTGGCCCAGCCAACACCACAGCTTTCAGGAATTATTCATGAGCCTTAAGAGGCAATTGGGGCCCTGCATGAAGGCCCTGGACAGACTGAGCAGTAGGTTCAGGAGAACCTCATGCAGCTCAATAAATCCAAGTGCAAGGGCTTGTACCTGAGTCACAGCAACCCACACTGCCAATACAAGGTGGGGGATGTGAGGATAGAAACACACCTGATGCTCATACCCCACTGTCATGTTGGTTTGAAGCTGGATAGAAATTTGACAGTATAGTAAGAATAACACAGAAGAGTTCAGGGGCTGCTCCCTGAGTTGAACTGCTTCTTTAGGAACTCGCATTAAAATACATTAATTACATCAGAAAAAGCAAAACTGCACAATAGTTGCCAGACTTCTGTTCCAAAATAAACTGCTTTCTCAAAAATACTTCCAGATAGTGCCTTTGTAAACACTAAATATTACATGGTTACTTTTCAAGAGACTCATATTTAGAACAAGTAGCATTTTACACATACTAGTTCTATATGATGGCTATCTGGGTGCTATGGCCCACCTGGTAGAAAAACAAGTAAACAGTCCTATTTATTGAGGAAGTGATCTTCAGAAGCTGAGTGTACCTTATAGCCACCAAATTGGCACATGGCAATGTAGGACAGGAGGAAGAAGCAGCCAGAGCTGTGCGTTAGGATGGGGTGCCAACAACTCATTGGGATGAGTTATCCACTGTTAGAGGCTGGAGGCAGGGCTGCTGAAGTGCTACCAGTGGTAAGAATAATAATAAAAGAACTATCCACAATAGGGCTGACATTCTCACTGCAGGACTTGTGCCAACAGGTGTTGCTTTAGCAAGGAAAATAAGCCCAAATAATGAAGTCAGAAAGGAGAGAAAGCAGAGTCTTTGCTCATTCAACTGGTCTGAGATGGTTAGCTACTATGGAGTTTAGTATAAATTACATCTATGGAGTTAGTATTGCACAAATATTTGCAAAACCTATGATACAGAATGCTTCAGGTAATTAACACCAGAGCAAATTCATTCCACCTTCCCTGTCTTTTTCAGTTTGGAAGGAAAATGAGAGGGAAAATGTTATGCACTGACTGTGGGTCCTACTGTTTGTTAACAGCTTTTTCTTTTGAAGATGCATTATTTATGTGTGTTAAAGTACAGCACACAGTACAGAAGAATGTGGCCCTCCACTTGCTCCCCTAAAGCAGCAAATGGCAAGGTCATGCTGCAGGTTATCTGCTTCCTAGTGAACAGCTGCATATTTTAATGCTGTGACCTGCTAATGCAGATGGAAATGCACACAAAGGCGATGCGTGATTATTTGGTGTAGCATTTTGTGTCAAGAATCTGCAGTATGGGAGAAAATGCACTAAATTTGCCATTTTCTCCTATGGGCTGCGACCACAGACTCCTGGAAATGTCATGGTTTGTGGTCCTCCCATTAGCAGTTTCCTTTGTTTTTTAATTGAGGCCAGGATTTCTCTGCCAAGTCTAGTAAGAGTTTTGCAGCAGTAGTAAATAGAGAACAAGTTAGCCTGGCTATACTCCACAGAGCTCCATTCACCAGGTACATCTCAGCTGGTGCCACCTATAAAACACCAAGTAGTAGATTGGTAGAGATCCCAATGGATGTCCACTGCTGTGACTTCATGGACATTCGCCACAGCAGACACCAATCTTTGAACACTCTGGTCACAGAATCATTTGGAAAGGACCTCCACGATCATCCAGTCCAACCAATCCACCAATCACCAGTAGTTCTCACTAAACCACGTCCCTCAACACAACGTCTAAGATGCGAAACACTGCAAGTGCGAATGCCTGTGCTTACCTCATCTGAGTGGTTGTTACAGAAGCAAGCACCAGGACACAGCTCTTCTCCTTCATCTTTCCTTGTGGGTATGAAGGCCTTGCAGAGAAGGCTTCAAGAGGGCTGGATATCCATGTGCCCTTTGAAGACAGCATGGCAATGTGAAGAAAGCAGATGACCTGATAACAGCAACAGGTAAGACAGGAATGTGAGTATCAATCAAGTGGCTGTGGGACAAACAGTCTCAAATTTGGGCAACGTGGGAAACCATCACCTGGATTAAACAGTGGATGGATGATCACAAGGAGACTTTCCAAGAAGCTCAAAAAGAATGAACATTTACAACACTGGGAAGAGACCTGGTAGTAGAAATAGCAAAAAGCTGCTTTGATGGAACCAGAGGCAGCTCTGATGCAACCACAACCCTTCTAAGATCAGGCAGAGCAGCCTTCCCTTTGGATGCCATGCTTGGGTTGCACTCATACACACACTGTGTGTACAATTAAAACTTGGTCAGATCGTATGTGTTGAGAAATTTGTATTTTAATCACCATTTTGCAAACTCCTTGCACTCTGGCTTACCTGTAGCATTGCTGATATTGATCTTGAATGTGCAGTTCATCGGTTGCCAGTTAATTAAGTGTTGTTAATAAGTCAGTAAACCACTTGAGCACTGATTTGGTTTAAGCTAGGTGAGCCATAAAGATTTTTCCCCTGCAGCAGATGGGCAGTGGCAGTAATTCCTCTGCAGGGAACCAGTCATTTCAAGTAAGAACAGAAATAGGTACTGAGGTGAAGCTGGGCTGCCTGCTGACTTCTGCACATGTTGGCCTATGAAACAAAAGAACCATAGAATCATTCAGGTTGGAAAAGCTATCCAAGATGCCAAGGCCAACCCCATCCCACCCCACCATGCCCTCATCCCTCAGTACCACATCTCCACAGTTCTGGAACACCTCCAGCGACAGTGACCCACCACCCCCTGGGCAGCTGTGCCACTGCTTCGCTGCTCTTTCTGAGAAGACAATTTTCTTAATGTCCAACCTGAAATCCACTGGGGAACAGCAAGGATCACAACTTCCTCCTCCCAACTGTAGCTGCGACGGGGACTCCCAGGCTGGCCATTTTTCCTACTGCACCAGGAGAGCCAGGAAAACAGTTGAACTAACTACAGATGCCAGCATAGATGGGACCTTCCCCTTCTCCAGCCCTCCTGGTGGTCCCGTGGGGGATGCTTTGTTCCTGGACACCAGCAGGGAACAGCCCTGCCTTCACCCTGGGATGCTGCTCTGTGTCCCAGACACTTTTGGGACAGCCTGTTTATCAAACCAAGGATTAAAAAGCTGATGATAAACAATAGTGAATCCAAGCCAATACGAGGTGCATTATGTTATTAGACTATCACAGAATTATACATTAAAAAAAAATATAAAATTATAATCCTGGCTGTGCTCCTTTCAGTCACTTTGCTGTTGTCATTTATTTGGGTTTAAAGCATGTTTCAGCAGAAGTTACATAAACAGCACCTTCACTTCTGTCCTACTGCTTCTCTTTCGGATGTGACCTTATGATGTGGCCAGTGCCATTCACAGTCCATCACAGCCCAAGCAGAAAGTCATTGGTGCAGCACATGCAGAGAGCATATGGGAGATTGCGATCAGCAACCCAAATGTTGTCTTATGCCATGTAGAAAGCTGCTATGTCTGACAATAGGGGTATTAGTCAATATTTTTCCCCTCTTATCTTTTGGAAGATGGGATGATAGCTGAGAGCTGGGCAAAGGCACAGAGATGAGGAAGGGTGCTGGAATGGAGATGAGGAAGGGTGCTGGAATGGAGATGAGGAAGGGTGCTGGAATGGAGATGAGGAAGGGTGCTGGAATGGAGATGAGGAAGGGTGCTGGAATGGAGGGTATATGGGAATTGGGAATGGTCCATCCCATCTCCCACCCAGCCCTGTGGCACCAGGTGCACATCAGGCAGCTGTTGTAAGAAGCCACTGGTACCTGCACACAGTGAAAGGCATCCATTGGTCTTACAAAGTTTGGAGAAGGCCTGGGAAACACTTTGTGTAGGTTGTCTTTGGACATGTCTTACAACCCCTGCTTAGTGCAAAGAGGCAGCTGGAGTTGGTGCGAGCAAGGAGGAGGTCTGCAAATGGAATATTTCTTCCAGGAGAGAGGAGGAATGACTGGTATAAAAAAAAAAAAAACAAAAAAAAAAAAACAAAAAAAAAACCCAAAACAAAGTAGAAAGCAGATGTTACCATGGCAACTAGCAGCACTTTTGCCAGAAAAAGTGAGGAAGGAATCAACGATAAGAAAGAAGTAATCAAACCAGCTTAAGGAATGTAAAAAATAGAAATTGTTTGTGAATTATATATAAGTCTGCTAAAAAAAAAAAAAAAAAAAAAAAAAGAGTCAATTCAAAATAAAAATGTTGAATGAATTTGAAGAAAAGGAAAAGATACTATTTGCATGCTAACTCTGTGCAATAGATTATGAATGTTTTTGTTTGGAACTGCTGCTTTGCTTGGGAAACAACTCAGCAAGGCAAGAATGGAAATCCAAATATTGAAACATCGCTCAGACTCCGTGGTGGAGCTGTCTCATCCCTTACAACAGCACAGTGTAGGCGACCACCAGTTTGGGTGTGGAGGCAAAACTTCAGTTTTCAGTGTGGCTCCTTTGTTCATGATTACTTAACCAAGACTTGTGCAGACTGAAAAACACGTTGTCCTGTGCAATGAAAATCTTTACTTGCACAATGCACAGGTATTCTAAGAAATTCATTGTAAGAAGGGACTCTGTGGAAAAAAAAAAAGCTAAGTATATACACATGAATACGGTTGGAAGGAACAAGATCTTGGGTTGTAAGAAGAAAGAAGAGATCTAAGCAGAATCTTCAAGACAAAAGTTGTGAGGCTTGTGAAATCCTGCCAGCTATAGAAAGAACACTGAAATCCATAGTGAGCGTAGGAAACAAAGTCAATGCTCAAACGCACACCAAACTTCTCCTTGCATGTTCCTGCTCAGCAAGTGCTGTCACTGCCAGCAAAAGAACCAAGGACATCAGAACTGGGGGGCTGATGGAGCTGCATTTTCAGATGAAGGTGGTTTTTCTGGTTGCTTTCCTTTTGGGGCAAGTCCTGGCTGAGGGCAGTTCTTAAAAGCAACTGCACAGAGAAAATGTTTTAGTTATTAACACACACTTATGTAGGTGCCATTTGCAACAAGGACATATGGTTTTTAATAAGTATATGACCAGTCAGGGCCAAACAGGAGGAAGAAACAAACTCTGTGGCACTGAAGACTTCAAAACCCACTAGTAGAGATGTGCAGGAGAATGGCAGAATCATAGAATGGACTGAGTTGACATGGGCCTTAAAGCCAACCCAGTCCCAACCCTCAGCCATGTGCAGGGGCCCTTCTCACCAGATGAGGTTGCTCCAAGCTCCAATCTCCTCATCAGTCAGTGGACGCTTGGCAGCAGCACCAAGAGACATCTGCTCAGCATGATTTTACCCTATTGGCATGAAGAGTCCCACTGCACTTCAGCAATCCAGGCTCTGTGCAAGTGAGCCCCACGACAGCAGGTTGGGCACAGGCTTCTGCCACATTTCCTATGTATTCTCATCACTAACCACTACAACAACAAGGATGAAGTTCCTCACATCCATATACACTAGGGAACTCAGGCATGGAAAAGCATAGGAAGATCTGCCAGCATCCACAGAAGCTGAAAACATTGTTCTGTTAGGAATGTCATGGAGATCTGGGCACTACTGGGCACAAGGGCTCGATCCAGTTGGGTCTTCAAGTCTCAGTAAGCAGTAGTGAAGGAAGATCCTTTGCTACCTATTGAAGATCCTTCCTGCATCATGAGACAGTACCTGCCTTTGGAAATGTGGTGTTGGGAACAAAAAAGTGAAGACTGACATCAACAGACGTAAGATGCCCAAGTACTCCATGCTTCCTATTTTTGTGTTCCACAGTCTCTTCCAAAAATGCAGGCTTATGTTACTGGAGACTATATTGTTTTATATTACATTTCCTTGAGTTATGTTGCAGGTTCATAATAAATATACGCATTACTAACTATATGGACATCAACCCTATGGAATAGCAGGTATACAATGCGCTCAGATAGCAAGAGCTCTCATAGATACCAAGAGCATCCAGATGTGGAACAGAAACTATTAACAGAAATAAACTGTTGGAGAGAGCTGGTATTTGGTGTTCTCTAATTACATTTTGTTACTAGTCTGTACTGCCTTCCCTAAAACTGTGAGAAATGAACAGGTTTGCACCCACCGTGACCCTGCACATAGCAGGGTGGTTGAAACTAGATGATCACTGTGGTCCTTTCCAACCCAGACTATTCTGTGATTCTATGTTAATGATTCTCATTTTGGTTGATGACAGGTGGGCCGTGAGCCAGCAGTGTGCCCTGATATGCAGTCACCTCTGGTTAGGTCATGGAAGGGATAATCTTTTGGGGATGTTTAACCCACAGCCTCTACCAGCCCCTAGAGTCACCATACAGATTGGTCTGGTCTTCCTGTGGTTTCCATTCAAGCAGAGCCCATTTTGGCATCACCTTCTTTACCTGCACCCACACAGACACATATATACCTTCATTTCAGGCCTGCTATCATCAACTTCCATGGCAAAACAGGAGTAAAGAATGCATAAAGAAAGTAACAAAGAAGATTCAGGGTGTCTTTTGCATGAGGATAAATTAAATAGCCTAAACTCAGTCTGGAAGGAAGGGCGTGACAAAAGCCTGTATAATCAAGGATGTCCTGAAGACACTCTGCAGGGAATAACTGCTGCCACCACGTCTGTCAAAACAGAGTGTCTCCTGCCTGACAAAAGGAAATCTTCCTTGCACACCGCGTCTGTAAACTGCAAAATCCATTCCTTGTAGATGCTAATAGTGACACGGGCTCAAAAGGCAATAGCATAAACGTATGAAAGTGCATTGAGAGCTGCAGTGCACACAGATACCTGACTCAAAGCTTCTTCGTGGCAGCTCTCCAGGGACTGCTGTAAGGCAGTAGGAGTACGTGTGATTGCTGTTTTCATTTCTTTCTTTATTTCCTACTGATGCTGTTGGGTACAAGATGTTAGGCCCAAGAAAACCTTTATTGTGGTCTTGTAAAGCAGTTCTTGTGGTTTTAGGTTTGAGGATCTGCTGTTGAGGGAGGCTTTTTCTTTCCACAAAATCTATTAGGTGATGAGAATTCATATTTTCCCCTCGCTCTTAACTTTCTCCCTTCTGCAGTCAAAGCAGAACTGCTGCCTCTGAATATCTGTGTCTCACTGCTGTTTCCACAGGGCACCAGTTGCTTTACCACCAAGAGGACAAGACTGTAGAGACCAAGCAGGTCAAAGCATCACTCCTGCTTCTGCATTTGAACCGAGGCTATATTGAAAGTGATGCTGGCCAAACCAGCACAGCCACCACAGACGCCAGTTCTTCCTGAAGGTTCTCTCCTGAAGGCTCACCAGCAATAAGAGAGGATGGTCTTCCTTAGGCTATGTGTGACAACACCATAGGACAGATTTACTGTCCATATGCTACTCCTTCTCACAGAACACTGCAGTTCCTTGACCCTCAGTTCAACTCTGAAAGTCTCTGGCTGCTGAGAAGGGTAAAGCAGCTGTGACAACCAAGAAATTAAAATCTGTTTAGTTCACAGCCAGTATAAAGGTACACACATGAAGCTAGTTCTTAGCTTCATTATTTTGTTTTTAATTTATTTCTAGAATTACTCATAGAATCATAGATTAACAAGGTTGGAAAGGACCTACAAGATCATCTAGTCACCTAATTCTTGACCCACGTTATTTTCAGCTCACTGTATCTTCTAACAACTTCCCAGGTGATCATAGATCCACATCCCTCAAAGGCACATTGATATTAATGGTGTACTGATTTTAATGAGGCATTATACTGGAGCACAGAGCAGTATCTCATGTTACCATCACAAGAACTCAGCTGTCCTGGACAACGGGAACAACACATGAAACATTCCAATATCAGAATGAACATTCCAGAATCAGGAAGTCAGATAGGTTAGATCCTTCTTCCCACTGGTGGAAGACACCAGTCACTACCAATAGATAGAGTCCAAACGATCCTACAAGTGAGGGCCGTGGTCTTTTCTCAGTGATAACATGCAGGCCTCTGCGCAGCAGATGGTATTGGAATAGACTTCTTCAGTAATGGGGTAGACAAGTTCATAGGCTGGTTTGAGTTGAAAGTACCCTTACAAGCCATCAGGTCCCACTCCCTGCAGCGCATGGGGGCACCCACAGCTCCATCAGTGCTCACAGCCCATCCCCTGACCTTGGATGTGGGCAGGAAAGGGGAACCACCATGTCTCTGGGCAGCCTTTATCTCACTACTTAATTTCCATGGGCTGCTGAATACCTTTAGTTTTGGCCATCACTTCAACTCACTCCTTTTCCTGCTCCTTAGCTGCAGATTATTAAATACATTACAAGGGAAACAATTTATACCCATTATTACAATATGAATTCTCCAGCTGGCTCTTTAAAAGGAAAAGAAAACCACAAAAAGCAGAAGAAGAGATGCAGATGTGAGTCTGCTCTTGCACTGAACAGTGGATTGGAAATGGAGCTTCAGTCACCAACATGACATTACTTCAGGTCTGCAGCAGTGCAGAGCTAAGCCTGAAGGTTTTTCACACGGCAGCATCTTAAAGCTTCAGCATAAAAACAAACTTTTACACCCAGTGAACCTAATTCATGGACAGAATGGTTTCCATGAATAGAGCTCTGCCTCTGAGCCATGCTGCCTGAATCTGCTGTCCCAGGGATGTAGCAAACAATCCCAGGACGGCGTTATTTCAGTACAGGAAAGCACCACGTTGCACTACGAGTGGGTATTGAGGAACACAACTACCTCAAAGCACATCACTCGGGGATTTCACACAGTTCTCACTCATTTAACATTAATTTCACACCTTCCACATTGAGTCGCTTCATCTTAAAAATACACAGAGGAAAAGATTCCTCAAGTACACATCACACTCCATAATTTCTTTGCAGGAGGGATTGCTGCACTTCCACAAAACCCCCTTAGGCCCAGCAGATGTAACCACGCACCCTGCTTTATAAAGGATGCCAACAAAGAACAATTTGAGCGTTTTTGATCTATGTTCAACATAGCTATAAGGAGGGACTGCATCTACACCCAGTCACACGTGCATCATTTAATAGCAGAGAGGCAATTCAATAGGCAGGACAGGATGAGAGCTGTGGTTTCCTAGTAAGCTGTTCTTAGGAGACATTACAAAATATGTAAATACTTCAAAAGCATTAATCCAGCTTGCCAGGAAGACTGACCATAATGACTTGATTTCAATCCAGAGCAATTTAAAGTAGTTACTTATAAATGACACATCCAATTTCCTGATCCAACCCATACTGAAAACAAGTAGGAAAACAGTGCATAAAGTCACATAATTGGAAATTACAAAGAAAGATGACTTGACCTCTTCCAGTCAGAACACTGCACCAACTGATCTTTTTCTTCACACCATCCATGCTTTTTAATTCTCCAACTGGGCTTCTCAAAGAAACATGGATTACTTTTAAATATATTTGAACAGTGAGACATCCTGACTTGGGCAGACTATTCTCCCAGGCACCGGTTTTATAACTTCACCTAGGTGTTAGTTTGATTTAACAAAATAAATCAGGTTAACTCAGTCTACACCTACAATTTAGCCAGAAGGAGATAAAGAAGTTACCACCTTTCCAAATTTGCAGAGCGCTAGGCTACTCACCAAGCTCAATTCTATTTTAGGTCAACTTCACCTTGGATAAATAAAATCAGATATCTTCTATTCTTAAGCAATCCACCGGGAAACCTAGAAGTAGGTAATTTATTGAGGAGGAAACATCTGTGCAATAATCAGCTGTGCCACCCAATGGTTCATAAGAAAAGCAAAAGATACGGGCACACACACTGAGCACTTGCAGACTTGCAAGCGATGGCCATGAACTTTGTTGACACATGCTGCAGGCTATTCAAAGCACCTCTACCACAATTCCAGCACTGTGCAAGGGAACAAGCAGCTCTCTGTCTTCTGGAGAACTGGCCCTGTCATTCAAACGGATAGAAGGGACACGTTTAAATGCTTTCAGTCCAGTGAGTTACTCTGTCAAAATTGTTTGTGCCACAGATGGAGCCCACATGCACAGCATGGTGTGAAAGGAAAGCAAAAACAATCCAAGGCTCACAAACTTATATATATGTATAGCTTCTCATTGGAGGAGCAGTAATTATGTGGGGTCAGGTGCCTGAGGAACTTAAACGAGCAACAGCACAAAGCTGGGATACAGCCAAGATAGCTGTCCCTGATTACAGACATAGCTTCTACTCACAGAGCTCAGGAATAGGGCAATGGAAACCACCTCAGATTATTTTCCTAAATACGGAATTCTGAATTATTTACATCCCTCACATTCATAACATAGACAGGTAGAACTGCATTGGCTCCATCTGCAAGGAGATAGAGGTGGATAAACAACCTGCCTTGCTGGGAAGCAGCACACAAAGCTATAACAACCTTCTTTACTTATTCCTCAGTGTTTCATCACCAAATTGTTTGCTGGCTTGGAGATTAGAAGAATTCCTCATTATACCAAAGCTGCCTTAAAGTGGTAGATTTAAGCATTGTGGTTTACATAGTTCATCCAATAAATAAATACATCTCAATATGGAAGAGACTCAGGTACAGTAAGTGAGACTATAAAACAGTACCAAGCTTTTTAATGAAACAGAAAATATATTTTCTCTTTCTGAACATAACAAAATAGAACCATAATAAGTCAGAATATTTTAATGGTTACAGTCATTAACTCCAAAGATCAACTGCCAAGAAAGATGTTTGTTACTAAGCTCTTAAAACTTTTAAAACTAAATGCCCTTCTGGAAGGCATATCTTAATTAAGCACAAATTAAAAGGCAGACCCCAAAGTAATTTGACCTCTGATACACCAGTTAACCAAATCAGATTGCTTTGAATTTCTGCTTACCTTATTTCTTTGTAGGATGCATGCTGCTTTTGTTAAGGCACAACACTCAGTACGCTTCTTCTTCATGGAACTCAACCCCCAATGAAACTGCAGCACACCTATAAGGAGGGCTGCCTTTGTTTGCTACTTAAATTAAGGCCAGGTGATTTCAGACCAGATTTGGAACAGCTGAATGCAATCAGTGTCAGCTGAAGGAAATGGTTGCCCAAGAGTGGCTTCTCAGAGTCTGGGGTGTGTGAGCCAGGTTTCTAGGAAAGAGGACAAACTATGGAGGAACAAAAGAAAGAGCAGATCTTCAAGTTCTGCAAATAGCTGCTGTGCAGCTGCTGGCTGCTTCCCAATGCCTTTAGAACAGCACAAGTACTGGGATGCCTTCTGTGAGCTGCTATGCTCACTTGTGTCCTTGAGTGGCTTACTGGCCTTGGGAATTCCTCCTGCTGCTCTTTATTTGAATCTCAGAGAATTTGTCATACAAGCAAGACATACCCAGACAGACTTCATTATAACCAACAGACACTGGTACAGCCCAAGGAATGACTCCACTATTTACCAGCATTTCCCAACAACGCTCTCATGACTTCCCATCTTGTAAAGGGCTCCTAATGACGTCTCATGGTTCTGAAACCCTTTGTCCCACACCTCACCAGCTAACCATCCCCCTGGGGTGGCTCACCTTGCACAGCCTGCACAGCAGCTCTTGTACTGGTGCGTGGCAAACTGAATCTGGACTGTGTTAGGTCTCATCTGCTCCTCCATAGAGGCGGTATCCTGTGGATTTTATCATCACAGCTAGGAATGGTTTCATGGTATGCAACCCTCTAGTGCTTGCCTTAGCCCTGCTGCCAGATGCTAAGCCATCAGTCTGGAGAGAAACTCAGGCTCATGGGAAGGACGAGCTAACCTCTGTTCTCTGGGGACAAAGGATCACAATTACTGAGATCACCTTTCTCATCTGTGGTTCACAACAAGGTCTGGGGAAACCTCCTTACATCAAAATCTTATCACATCTTCTGTATTCTCTCCTCCAGGCAAGACAAAGCCAGTTCTCACTTCTTTCCTATGGAGAAAGGCCAACTTGATCAAAATCCTTTTCATTCTTGGCAGTGTCCTATAAGATATCCAGATTGCAATGTCCTAAACTGGACACAGTTTTCCAGACTGCTGTTAATCAGTGCTCAGCAGCCCGCAGTAATTACATCTCTGGCCTCACGCATCATGCACCTCTTCATCCATCTTGTGTTGACACCGCATTTCCTAACAATCCCGGAGCAGCGGTAGGAGATAAGTCATGGTCTGTTTGTGCACTGACGAAGTCGATGCATTCTGTGCTGCACTGCTTTGCTTTGCTGGAAATACCATATTTTACCTGTAAGTGGAACGAGCACCTCTTCCTCTCCCAGTTCCCAGCATCCTTTATTACACCTCCAGCTCAGCAAAGGGCACCGTGGTGGTGGAGGGGATACTGACTTCTCTCAATCAAACCCACTGGTCTGGGTTTTTGGGTTTTTTTTTAGGTCTTTGACTGATTGGTGTTCCAAAGGGGAAGAGAATACATGAATTTTCAGTTTGATGCTGAGGAACAAATGAAATCCAGAATGGCATTCCAGGAATTCTGCTCACTGGAGCATTTGGAATGCTTCCATTTCCCCTGTTAAGCTGCATCTCCCACGAGGAACTGCAACTCGCACTGGCTGTGGGGTTGGAGCCAGGTGTGATTTCCATTGAGAACTGATCTCACTGTTTCTTATGTGGGACGTGAAAATCTCAGCTCCCAGTTCTCAGCTCTCAATTCTAATCCAGTTGCATGAATTTCTAAGTAACAAGGAAGAATTTTAAGTAATTTTTGCCTTTATGAAAAGGATCACACAGTAACACAGAGCTTAAAGATAGGGAAAAAAGCCCACAAAAAAAAGTGAAGGTGACTGCTAGTCCTGAATGTATGGAAAAGGAAAGCCAAGAAAATGGTGGATGGCCTAGAGTGTATCTGGTGATGTCTTTGGAAAAGGCAGTGGTTATGATACCTCTGACAGGGGCTGACAGGCAGATATAACCTTAAGCTCCCACGTCCCAAAGACTGAGGAACGTGAGTTTTACAAACACTGTCAGTTCCAGGGATTGATTCACTTGGCAAAACTGAGAACAGTTGTATTTTTAAAGCTGGTTCAAAGCGGAGCTGGGTGTAGCAAGATGCAGGAGATGGTTCAAATCTGGAATAGTCAGCAGTGACATGATTAAAGGAACCAAGATGAAGAGAAGCCTGAACAATAGGGCGATACAAGGAGCTGAGCCCACAAAACTGGATGTCATACACCAAAACAGTACAGTTTCCAGAGGCAGTTAGTTATGGTGTCTTGTCTCCTTTGAGCTTAATCAAAAGAACCAATAAGTCTAATACATTCTCACTAATGTCTGAAATTCAAAGGGAAATGCAGGACTTGGTCTGACTCTCAGTACAATCATGTTCCTTAAGGGACTAAAATTAAAGTTCATTAGAAAAATAAATATGACATTTAAAAAGTGAAATGGAACATGTACTTTTTAGTAATGAAATTGAATTTCAATACTTACAGCAACTGTAGAAGCAGGAGGATCTGCTGTTCAATTAATTTTTCATCTTGAATTTTAAAAAAAAAATCCATATAATAGAAGAAAAATATTTCACACGTCAGCTGGGCATATCATATACATCCCAGATACAAGGAGGTTTTCATTAGTGATGGCAAAGCTGGAAAATATGGTCTGCACATCAGCAAAGGGAGAATTTGATTCAATTAATAAGTCTGACCAGTGGGGAGAGGGGCAATGGGAGCAATGCTGGGAGCAATGGGAGAGAAACGGTGGTCTTACAGGGAGAGAGTGGGAAGAAGGGGAGGAGTGCAGTGTGGGGCTGGGGCCAATACTGCTGTCAGCCACTTCATGAAGAGTGCAGCTCAGACCACGCTGTGATGAGACCAGTAGATGACAGCAGCACAAAATCTTCCATGCAAGATGACATCAGTTCTGTTATCTACAAAGACGTATCTTGCCACCTGCTCTGCAAACAGCTGTCCCCTGTATCTGCCCATTCCCAGAGCACAGTGATGGATATGTGAGATTTGCATTAGATACACAGGGAAGTCATAAGCAAGTCCTCATTTCCCGTGTCTGCAGAAGACAGGCTGCTGTCAGTAAGGGAGCACGTGCTTCCTGATATGGTTTTTGCCTTTAGCCACATAACAAATGTAAAATCCTGCCTGATTGCTCCTTTGGAGAACTACATCTCTGCTAGTGTCTCCATGAAGAAAATATTCATATGCTTTTAAGTGCTGATTAAATTCTTAGATCACCTAGATCGTAACCTGAATGCCACAGACCATTAAGCTGCATCAAAAGCCCCAACATTCACTCTCCTGGCAGTGAATAAATGGAAATATTTCATTCTTTAGCAGAGGGCAGGTCATTCTGTGCCACAGGAGACCGACATGCTATAGACGCCTGGGCAGGGAATGGGATGGATGAAGAAGGAAGGCAGGAGATGCTGAAAGAATCTCTATTAGTTCCACCCGGTTAAAACCTCTGGCATGAGCTGCAGCTGTGCCAGCTTCTCATGTGCATGCAAGCAAGAACCACCCAACCTCCAGCAGGATGCACAGTCACCCTTTTGGCTATAGAATCATAGAATAGCCTGGGTTGCAAAGGAGCACAGCGCTCATCCAGCTCCAACCCCCTGCTGTGTGCAGGTCACCAACCAGCAGCCCAGGCTGCCCAGAGCCACATCCAGCCTGGCCTTGAATGCCTGCAGGGATGGGGCATCCACAGCCTCCTTGGGCAACCTGTGCCAGTGCCTCACCACCCTCTGGGTGAGAAACTTCCTCCTAATCCTATCTCCAGTTGTCATGAGTCTCTACTGCCTTGAGTGAAAGCAAGAAAACATCACTTGAACAAGTGTGAGCAGCTCTGCCTAGAGGTCAATTCCTTCCTGGCACCTGCAGGCAATTGCCTGAAGCCACAAGGCACAAGGATTGATTGCCATCACAGTCCTGGTGTGCTGGCAGCATGCTCGGGGCAAGGCAGGCTCTCCTCCTTCCCCTCTTCCCCACGAAGGCTGTGTGGGTGGATGGCAATGGTTGCAGATGTCAGCCCCTGCCATATCCAGCTGCTGTGGGCCCATGCTGTGGGAAGGTGCTGAAGGTGGTCCAGCAGCATCCATGTTTCTGGGACGGTGTAAAAGAGCAGTAGGCAGAGATTTTTGCAAGCTCTGGTTTGCTTCCCAAGAACTCTTGTGAAGGAAGCAAGAAAGCCAGTCCCACTGCTGTCGTGCACTTTTCCTCTTACACTGAAAATAAATTTAATCCACTTCTTGTAACTTAGGAAAAAAAAAAAAGAACAAACATAAGAACTTCTGGAATATATTCTCTTTTCCATTTTTCTTGTTTTTTTCCCTCTGTGTCCCCAGCAGAAAAACTATAACTGAATACAAATAGGTGACAGTAACAGCAGTTCCACTCAGAAAACCAAACACAAAAAGTCGCCAGGCTCTTCGCAGACACTGACAGCACCAATGCAGGACAAAGCACAGAAAACATTTGATTTCACAACAGCCAGAGGCAGTGCTGACCCCATAGGAGCTCGGGAGCTGCTGGATGTCCTGTGAAATATAGCAACAAGCTTCTCTGTTGTAGAGTACATCATTCAGCTATGGCAGCCACCTGTGTGCTCAGTCAGACAACGGTGTCTTTGTTCTCCAATAACATCTTAATTTCTTGATGAATACTAAGATTGTAGGATCAATTACTCGTATTAGTTTAATTTAAATAGGAAAGAGCTACCGCAAGTTAATAAACTGTTTCTTCATGTTCTCCCCTTTTCTTTCTTGTCTTACGCCCCGTGAGCCTGAGCAGGAACATGGACCGCCTTTTAGATAGACACTGAATCCATGGATCCTAAACTGGGCACATCTCTATTTGTTTTGTATGGGTAAAGCTGACCTCATAAAGTCACAGAGTCATAGAATTGTTTGTGGGTTGGAAGGCACCTCTGAAGGTCTTCTAGGTCCAACTCCCCCCGAACTGGTCTGAATTTCCTCAGACTGGTGTGAGCTGATCCATTATTCGTGCACATGTGAACCCAGCCATTGGTTTCCATGCTTTCTGGGTCAGGTCTCCTTTGACAGGAGGCATTAGCAAATCTTCCCCCTACTGATGTACCAAAGACATCATGAAAGACTGCAGCCTTCTGATGGATTGTTTCCATCGTGATGGATCAGCATCATGAGCACTAACACTCAGACCCTGACATGTTCACTGAATGGCTTGGGTTGGAAGGCATCTCAGAGATCCTCCATCTCCAATCCTCCTGCTGTGGGTGGGATTGCTGGCCATTAGATCAGGCAGTGGCACAGATGCCTATGGATGTCCCTGGGGATGTCCCAGAACTGTGGAGATGTGGCACTGAAGGACGTGGGCAGTGGGCATGGTGGGGTGGGCTGGGGTTGGGCTTGGGGATCTTGGAGGCCTTTTCCAGCCTGAATGACTGTATGATTCTATGACTCAGTGGCAGGTAAAAATCACAGCCCCTTCCCATTTTCCTTCATTTTGTCAAGTGATAAAGGGTTTGTAGTCCAGAGTCAAACCTAACGCAGCCAGCAGCTGCCTCGCCCCCTGATGGCTCCCCTGCCCCATAGAGCATGGCTACTATAATGGTGCTGCTCCTGGTAGCAGTAATGTCAGCTCCTCATCCAGAGCTCCTATCAGGTGTCCTCATTATACCCATA